CAGGTAACAGGCAATGTTTCGTATTAGAAATCACCGCCTTGGGGTAAAATGCTGGTGATCATTTTACTGGTCTCTCGAAGATGCTGGTGACCAGTTTGTTATATCCTGGAGGTTGTACAAAGTTTTATTGGGTGCTATAAAGTGATGAGTTCATACGCGTCAGTTTTGTTTACTATTTTTTTTGTATCAGAACCAATTATTGTTTTATTTTTAAATTCACTTTATATAATATATTAATACATATTACTAGAGCATTTACAGACAGCAAAATATTTGTCATTAAGAATATTTTGTCAAGTACAAGTTGATTTTATATTTAAACTTAAGCACACTTTTTTTAGCTAACCCATTTATATAATATTCTATATAAAAATAATATATATACAATACAATAGATGAAATTTTTGAATACACTAATGTATACTTTAGCATTAATTGTATATTGTGTTTTTGTATTTTTCCCAGTACGTATAAACATAAATCAGCTTGTCTATGAGCAGCATAATGAGAGGCTCTTCCCCATTAGCAGCAGGAGTCTATACTATCGGCTTTTTTACATAGCGTTAGCTAATTGTTTCATAATTATGCTTCTGCTTCGGTTACGCCAATGGTACCACAATATTAGAGAAGATAAACTGCATTTCCCTCTACCATTGTTTGTATTATTTGAAGTTTACAACCAGCTTTATTTGTTTTGTAAACATAAATGTTGAAATATTGATAAGTTTGCGTGAATGGATAGTAGTTTGCTATTTCCAAGGTAGCGATAAATTTTAATAACAAAATTCAATAAAATAATTCACATTGAGTTGTTTATGGTGAAACAGGTTCACGATAGTAGCAGCGTGAATAAATCGCTGGCATCCTTTCAAAACCATTATCCTGTAATGAATTCTTGTAGATTAAAGCACCAGGATGTAATTAACCCTTACTTAAGCTATCACTTCGGTTTTCAGTAAGATTGAATTTTGTTTGAAATTTCTAGTGACATTCCAAGCAGGAAATTATATTATTTTATATTAAGTTACGCAGCAGATTAGTAAAGTAGGATGGGTTATCGTAATGAGATAGAAATCCCATATCAGTAAGAAATATAGAAAGAAACTTAAAAGTATTAAATGGAAAAGTGTCTACTCATGGCAAAGAAAAAGTCAAGAAAGAATTTTGAACAAAGTTAAGAAATTTATTAGTAAAGAAAACGTGTCTCGACATCTTTGGTCATTAACACGGAAGCCTTCTCCTCCTCTATCCTTTATTCTTCGTAAGGATGTGGTGATGTTATGGTATTTGACGAATGGTTGCTATCCATTCTTCTCTCTCACTGGGCGCGGTGTGCTGCCTCAGACAGAGAGTAACCGGTAGCGGTAGCGCACTTTATTTGGTCTGACCATCGGAGTGGCGATCTTCGTCGAGTTCTTTTACCATCTACCTTGTCTTCAACCACCAACCTCTCCATACCTTCCATTCGTCTGGTAATGTGTCCAAAGTACCTTAATATATTTTGGTTGATGATTGTGGTAAGCCTAGTATTGATGTCGAGTTATGTCAATATTGAGACATTTGTGCGATGTGCTGTCCAGGGTATGCGCATCATTCTACGATATACCCACATTTCAGGGGCAATTATACGTCGTGAGTCGGACTTTTTAATGGTCCAAGTTTCTGACGCATAGGTAACGATAGGAAAGATAAGCGTCCGTACTAGGCGCAGTTTCGTGTTCCTGGTTATCGTCCGTATCTTTCCAGATTTTAGTAAGTTTGGCCGTTACTGATCTGGCCATTGTAAGGCGCCGATGTATCTCTTCTTCGCATCCACCATTGTTTGTGATTACAGAATCTAAGTAATTGAAACGGCTTACCACTTCAAACCCACTACGTTTCGTTTTTCCGGTTGGTTATTTCTAATTCGATCGATTATCATTATCTTGGTCTTCTGTACATTAATTTTAAGTCCATATTCACGACTAATAATATCTAGTCTGTTCAAGATGTATTCAAGGTCATTTGTTGATGATGCTAGTACTAAAGTGTCGTCAGCATAGCGGAGATTGCTGATTTTTCGGCCTCCGACTGATATTCCTCCTTGCCATCCGTCGAATACAATGCGCATGATGAGCTATATATATTTTAAAGAGGCCAAGGCTAGATTTAAAACGTCTTGGATATTATACAGAGCCCTGAAATCGCTGCTCCTCGATCTATCTCCAAGTGTTTTGTCAGTAACTGATCTTAAAGTCTTCATTCCTGTCGTTCTTAGTGACCTGTTAAATGAACAATAGCGAACAAAACAATCTACTACCCAACAATCATCTGAAGCCATATATCCTGTTAGGTGGCTTAGAAATGCCGGAACCTGGGGATTAAAAAGTGCTGAGAGCAATGAAGAATTGAAAGAGTCCTACTCATAACAATGTATTTGCAGAAGTTTTTAAAATATTTGACCCAAAACATTTCACGTTCACCTGAATATACAAATCAGGCCAATGTCCAACTGACTGGTTAAAATCAACCTTTGTAACAATTCCGAACAAGGTATATACCAAAGATTGTAGTGCCTATTGATTTATAAGTCTTAATCTTAGATTAAAAACCCTGAAAGTTTTTTTCGAGTCGTGCATGTGCAAATACACTTAAAATGTGCAAAAACTGACTATTAAACACAATTTACGTTCATGGAAGGAAAGTAGAGTATGGGTCACTTGGGCATGGAAAAATTTTTCGGACCATGGGAACTTTCTTATTGACAGCATTCTTTGATGTACCACCAGGTGGGTTAGACGGCATCCTTTGATGTACAGCTAGGTGGGCTAAATGGACAGGTAGGCTAACTCTTATGTCAATTGTCAATTTGTGCTTTTAATTCGTTTTCTTTTCTTCGTCTTCTACTCCATCGATCGTAACAGCATCAATTCTTCGTTCATTTCCATTTACTTCGTCCCAACTTCTAATATTCTTTTTATATCATTTTGGTATGCCACTCATCTTTTGTTCTTTTTTATTTTTATTTACTACGCTGTAAAAGTGTATGTATTTAGTCGTTGTTGTTGTATTTCCTCTTTTTTGCTTTACATCAATTTCATCAACTTGCATTCTTATCAGATTTTCTTTATTTGCTTTGATATATTTTGTAGCTCACTTATAAACTTTTATAAACAAAAACTTAAAGATTCTGATCACCCACTGTATACTATGACATGTAATAATATCAATCTTAATGTATTTAACGCATAGCAATGATTTATAAAAATTCAATGTATAAATCCAGCTTGCGCCGTCACAAATTGGTATTCAACAAGCAGAAAATTATAGTAATGTGTGTAACATAAATCATCCAAGAATTAGATGATTCTTGATTTATAAAGTACTCCCTGCAAGCGTTACAAATACTCTTATTACTACAGTAAATTACACTAATTTTAATTTATTCATTAGAAGTCGTTTATAGTAAGCATAAAACGTTAAATACGTTTTTGTTATTATGATATTAATAGTTTATAGAGTGTTATCATTAATGGACATATGACGGCATAGTTTTCTGCCATGGGCTTGTATGTAGTCTAACAGTGTAGGTAAAAGTTTATGGTCGGTATGGTAAAATTTAACAGGATATCTAACACAGATATAAAATCATATTTTCAGCGAATAGACAAAGATAACAATCATATTTCCCCTTGGTCTTCGTGGGACGATTAGTTCCGATCAGATATATTTTACATATCTCTGGTTCCGATCCAAATATACCTAAGAAACTAGAGGTGGGTCGTTGACATTTTTATCGGAACCGTTTTTCGTAAACTGTAACTAGTTGATTGTTTACCAGTAGTTTCAAATAAGTGAGTACACAAACAAACATATTGGCTATTATCGTTTATGTGTATAAGCATTGAAGTGAAAGAAACTAGCGAAGGATATATTTATTATAACTTGAAAAATAAATTAAACAATACAAATAGTAAATAGTACGTACATTTACATTACACATTATTAAATCGCGAATCGTCTAAATTGACATTTAAAAACATAAGTTTTTCCACTTTTCTTGTTAACCGTGTTCTTCTTTTATTTAAAATTAAACCAAATTTTGAACATGTGTTCACAAGGAACAGATTTTGTTACAATACTACAATATTTTATGACTATAGTGATTGAGTTAGGATATACAGGGCGATGGTTTTTCCACCACTGTAATGGACAGTTCCAATCTCCGTTCGAAATTTTTTGTGAGTAATATATCATCAGACAAATACATGTCGACTTCTTTTATATCTCTCGATACAGGTGTATGTTTAGATGAGTCATGTCCAATTAATTCATCAAAAATACACCATGGACTTAAGTCATCTTTATCAGTTTCTTTTTCTTGTACTGGTTGATTTTCAATAGTACAATCTTCTTGTTCTTTAATTATAGAAGTAACCAGCTTCTACAACAAGTTCATAAGGTAGTTAGTTCATTTTTGATTGCTAAAAGCACTCCTCCACCTCGCAGACTATGATCTGAACTGTCTTTAGTAAACACTGTGTACCTATTGTCGAAAAGTTCAGAATCAAAAATACCTTCATTTTAACGCATTTAAACTTGTTTTTGAAGCACTTTCTTCACTAGAGTGAAGCTAAATATTAACCATCATATTGTATGAATATTTTTAATAATTTGAATATAAATACAAGCTTGTAGTAATAGATTTCCAATTATTAACGTAAGTATAGAAATCTTACAGTTTGCTCAAATAAAATCAAACCAATTCAAATCGCCAAAAGGTACAAAGTTAAAACAACATTCTTCCACATATAAAAGTACTTAATCTCCCGCTAATATTGCATTAAATTAAGCTAATTATATTCAAAAGCGATGTAGGTAGCGAAGAGGAACAATTTATAATCTTGTAAATAGTGTTTTTCAATGTTCCGATAAAAATTAAGTGATGATCAATACGGTCACTCTTTCAGTATAGAAAAGCATTTAAGAAATGGACTTATCATCATGTCGCAAGATAAGGAATGGTGTCCGATGGTTTATTTCTGAAACCGGTCGCTTTCATTGGCGTACCAACCAAGCCTGAATACAAGAGTTCTTCCAAATGTGAAGTTAAGGATTGTGTTCTTCACCCTTTACGTAAGACAGGTTTATTTTACCCTTATCGTGGTAAAACATGTTTAATTTCTTATTCTTTGTCTTTTTTTTAATATTAGGCCTTAGCTTGTTCTTGGCTTTCAACAGGGTACGTCAAGATTCACTTAATGACATTCTTGAAAGTAAAGGTATCTATTGCAGGTTTGCTTTTCATTGTCTTATTTATTTTATCTCTAAATGTTCTACCTCTCTTTCTTCTTTCTTTCAAACTCCATTCGATATTCTTTATCCTGCACCCTGAGACTGCTCTTCAGACCTATCTGTAAGAGCCTAGTTTTTAGCATTTCAATATTTTAACAATGTAATCGATTAGATTGTAGTTCATTCCCACACGTTTCTTAATTTTTGCGATATTTTTTCTGTCCCGTCTTGTAATTCTCCAACCTTTTAGCAATTCCGTCTCCAGTGCCCTTATTTTGCCTTCAAGATTTCAGCCGTTCATATTTCTTGTTTCTTCTCTACTTTTTGCAACATCCTTTGATCAATAGTACGGCATTCTAAGATAATTCTTTGGCGTAGTTGGTCAATTGTACCTGGTTGTGTCTGATACATTTTGGATTTTAAGTAATCCCATAGAAAAAATCTAATGGAGTTAAGTCAGGAGATGATGGTGGCCACTCTATATGTCCCCGTCGGCCAATCCATCTCACCGGAAAAAAGATATCTAGATAATTTTGGGTATAAGGAAATCTGAGAATTGGCAAGAATATTGAGAAATAAACTATATCGCTACACCGAAAGAATCCTACATGAATATCAGGCCGGCTTTAGAAAGGGCAGATCTACTGTAGACCAAATCTTCTCTAGGAGGTAGAGAATTAGACATTAAATAGATACAAACGACTTGTTCTGAAGGTAAATTTCCCCTGTATGTTTTGTTTGTGACTTTTAGACAAGCATATGATATAGTCGATAGAGTCAAAATGTATCGAGCAATGGAACATTTGGATATACCAAAGAAACTGATCCGGCTAGTAAAAATGACATTAAATAACTCTGAGTGTGAAATTGCTTGGCAGGGTCACATATCAGATCAATTTACGGTTGCAAAAGGCTTGAGACAGGGAGATCCTTTATCTACTACATTATTCAACTTAATGTTAGAAACTGTAATCAAAAAATGCAACATGAAGGTGGAAGAAACAATCATGGAAAATGAGCACCAGTGCTTGACATTTGCTGACGATTTAATGATCCTAGCAAAAACCGAGAAAGAATTAAGAAGAGTTGTGAAGAAAATCATCGAAGAAGCACAGAAATTCTGGATTGGAACTAAATGAAGACAAAACCAAATATATGATCATGGGAGGGACAGAAGGGAAAAAAGAAGACTTTAGTGTGAGGTCTGTAAGTGGTAAAAGCTATAGTTTTAAAGGGTGAATTTTGAATTGATTCTAAAAACTTTTTAGATGAAATGTTTTGTATAGAAATAGTTGCTTTTTCTGTATTCTTTTATAATGAAGAGAAATTGCCACGCTATATATAGATACGACACAGATCTAGAGCAAATTTGAAGATTAATTGTGTACAAGAAAATTTAAATTGAATCTAAAAAATTATTTAGATAAAATATTTTGTATATAACTTATGTTTTTTCGTATACTTCGTCTAAGTAGGATAATTATGAAGTTATAGGTACGATACTGCTCTAGAGCAACTTTTTGTATAACATCCTAGAAATAATTTCTTTTTCTTAAATTCTTTATTAACAATCTATCTTTGTTTCAGGCTTTAAGCGGTTTTCTAATGATGATGACGCAAAATGGAAAGTTATTGTACATATCGGATAATGCTGCGGAGTACCTGGGCCATTCCATGGTGAGTGTTTTACAGGTGAGCGAACTTTTTGAGCTTTTTAAGCTTGAGAGTGAGCTTAATTTATCAAAATCATATTTTATTTACATCTAATTTGTGAATGGAATGTATTATGACTCTGCTATTAGTCACCTGGTCGGCGATAAATCATTGTAGGAATGACTGTCCGAAAATCTGCGTACAGGGGGACACAAAAGTCTACATGATTTTAGAAAAAAACAATGTTCGACTTGATTTAGATTTGTTTTGATAAAAAAAATACTCATTTTAAGATAAATATTATGCCTATAACATTTTTATTACGTTTAAGAATAACATTATATTTTATAGTTTGTGCCAATGAAAACATTTGTAAAAATACACAATCCATTACAATCAAAACTCTTAGAAGTAATATGTTTAAGTTGCTGCATGTAACCCTAGGAATAATATATTTATAGTTCTGATATGATATCCAATATATATATATAAACATACTTTAGTTACTTGTAGATAAAAGTACTGTAATTTCTTAGTTATTCCGTAAGAAAGTCTTCCACTGATTAATATGGTCTTTCAGATAGATAGACATGTCATTTTACGGAACTTAAGGAAAGAAGTTGTATTTGTATGTATGTACTGCAGAGGAGGAATGGAGACAATTAAAAACAATTATAACGGAGTCAGCAGAGGAAACTGTCGGAAAAGCCAAAAGGCAAAGAAATGCGGAATGGTATGATGATGAATGCAGAACTGCAGTAGAGGAAAAAAGGCAAGCTAGGCTTAACCAACTTCAAAGAAACACAAGAAATAGCAGTGAGATTTATAACGAAAAAAGAATACAAGCGACTAGAATATGCAGAAGAAAGAAAAGAGAGGCTATGAAAAAACAAGTACAAGAAATCGTAAAGCATAACAACAGACGCGAAAGCAGAAAATTCTATAAATGCATAAAAGAAAGCACACAGTCATTTAGACCAAAACTAACGATATGCAAAGACAAGGACGGAGAACTACTAACAGAGAAGCAAAAAATTATAATGAGATGGAAACAATATTTCGAAGAAAATCTAAATGCAGACAACGAAAATGATCAGAACAAAACAATATATTATACGGCGGAGCTGCACATCGAAAATCCGAGTTATGAAGAAGTAGTTCAGATAATAAATAAACTAAAAAACTAATAAAGCACCAGGAACGGACGGAATTTCGGCAGAATTATTAAAGCATGGAGGATCCGAACTCCGGGAAAGAATCCATTACCTAATAACATTAATATGGACGAAGGAGCAAATGCAAGAGGAATGGACAGTTGGCCTCATACAGCCAATATATAACAAAGGAGATAAGAGGGAATGCCAGAATTATAGGCCAATTACATTGCTAAATGTAATATACAAAATTCTTTCTGGTATAATCTACAATAGATTATTAGAATACTCCGAAAATATAATTGGTGATTATCAAAATGGATTCAGACCAAATAGAGCCACTACAGATTACATATTCATACTAAGAACGATACAAGAAAAAGCTTATGAATACGACATAGACCTATATAATATGTATAGTAGACTTTAAACAAGCTTTTGATAGCGTGAAAAGAGACAGAATGCTGGAAGACCTTTGTAATCTAGGTATACCTAAGAAATACATCAGCCTCATAAAAATGACGTTGCAGGGTTCAAAAGCCGCAGTCAGAGTAGATGGAAAACTGACTCCCCTGTTTAACATCAACATGGGAGTAAGACAGGGAGATGCCCTATCAACCATGCTATTCAACCTAGTTCTTGAGGCAGTCATCAGAAAAACCAATATAACCGGCCATATAAACACCAAATCAGTACAAATTACTGCATATGCAGACGATGTAGCCATCATTAGTAGGAATAAGCCACGACTAATGAAGTGTTCAAACAAATTGATCCTGAAGCAAGAAAAAGAGGTCTCAAAATAAACGAAGCAAAAACGAAGTATATGACAGTCAAAAGAATAACTGACAATGAAAATAATATCACAATAGACAACCTTACTATCGAACGAGTGGATGCCTTTACATATCTCGGCACAGAAATCAATCAGAAGAACTCCGTAAGTAGCGAAATTAATGCACGTATTTCCAGCGGGAATCGTACATACTATGCTAATAAAATATTGATGACATCGAAATTATTAGACAAAAGAACCAAAATGACTATCTACAGAACACTGATTAGACCCGTAGTAACCTATGGATGTGAAACTTGGGTAATGACGAAAAAAGATGAAGCCCAACTCAGGACATTCGAGAGAAAAATACTGAGGAAAGTATATGGCCCAGACAAGTGGAAGATGGCACATGGAGAATCAGGAGAAACGACGAGGTTAATGAGTTAAATGAAGGTTATGACATTGTAAGATTTGTGAAAAGTCAAAGACTGTCATGGCTGAGACATGTGCAGAGACAAAACGATGCAAAAACAACAAAGAAATGTTACAATGGAAGCCCATAGGAAGGCGAAAAAAAGGAAGGCCCAGAACGAGATGGTTGGATGACGTGGAAGACGACCTGAAAACAATGAACATAAGACAATGGAGAAGAAGGCACAAGAGAGATCTGAATGGAAGGACATAGCCAGACAGGCAAAGACCCATCCAGGGTTATGATGCCAAAAGAAGAAGAAGGAAAGAAGTTGTAGATTTAGGTTGCAAAGGGAGATGGTTGTATATTTTTTTATCGAATATAATATAGATTTCTTTACTAACTCAGTGGACAGGATCGGTAAATACACATCAAAGGTTGAATTTCTGGTGGAGTAGTCATGATTATGTCTTGCTGGAAAAACATGTAGGTGTTTACAAATTAAGCAAACAGTTTCTAAAATATATATAGAGGAAAGAGTTAAAATCCCGTGATTTTTGAAGTAGCTTCTGCATAGACCTCATGTAGTACAGAAAACATAGCATCACTGGTACATTTATTAGATAAAAAGCCAAACTGACCTTGTGATAAAATGTTATTTTCAACGAGAAACATAAGTTGAGCTTTTATAAGTCCCTAAATAATTTTAGATAGGACCGGTAGTAAGGCAATAGGTCTATAGTTGCAGACATTCGATTTTTCACCACCCTTATGAAAAGGAATATAAAAATGGTACTTGGAGATTTCAACGCCAAAATAGGAAAAGAAAACGATTACCTACCCACCATTGGAAAATATAGCCTCCATAACGAGTCGAATCACAATGGAACACGCTTAATACACCTTGCGGCCTCAGTGAATATGGTGATAGCCAGCACATGCTTTGAGCGTAAAAATATACACAAAGGCACTTGGGTTAGCCCAGAAGGTAACACAATCAATCAAATTGACCATGTAGTCATTACAGCGATGTTATGAATGTATGTACCAGACGTGGAGAAAACATTGACTCCTATCACTACCTGGTCCAAGCTAAACTAACGACTCTAACGCAAAAAAAGGTAAAGGAAGCAAAGAAGATAAATTCGAGGTGGACAGACTACGAAACACTGAGATACTTGGAAAATTTGAACACAAACTTAAAGAAAAACTAGAAGACCAAATGAGTAGTACTGTTAAAAACATAGATAATTACTGGAATGAGTGCGAAAATATCCTGAAAGAAATAGCAACAACAGTTGTAGGAAAGAAGAAACTAGAAAGGAAGGGGACAGAATGGTATGATGAGGAATGCGCACAGGCAACTCAAAAAAAGAATCAGGTGTATGGGAAACTCCAAAACAGAAGGACTAGACAAAATCAAGAGGAGGAAAACAAAAGAAAAAACGACATTTAGAAAACCAGCTACAGGAACTAGAGAGGCTCAATTCACAAAGCGAAGCGCGAAAATTTTATAAAAATGTGAACCACAACAGAAAGAATTTAAACCTAGAATAACTATAATAAAAAGTAAGGAAGCCGAAATTATCAATGAAGGGGACATAATAGTATTATGCGGAATGCGCACAGGCAACTCAAAAAAAGAATCAGGCATATGGGAAACTCCAAAACAGAAGGACAAGACAAAATCGAGAGGAGGAAAAGAAGCCGAAGTTATCAATGAGCCGGAATAAATTCGAGACATTGTTTGAATTGGGGAGATAGGAAATAGGATCTTGTGGCAAAATAGTTGATGTTATATTTTTACTCACATTAAAGAATATTCATATAGATTTTGAGGTTTTGGAAGAGAGAAATGTTTGAGCTGTAGTGTTAGTTTAATTTCAAAGATCGTTTATTATGGACCAAGATTCTCTTGGAACATTTTTAGTGCTTCCCAGACGATTTTGATACATTTTTTTAGCTGTGTTGATAAGTTTTAGTTAGGTTCCTCTATGCAGTAGTGTCAAACCCCATATTATAAGAACAAGGATGATAAAGCACAGCAATCTAAATATGAGAATATATACAGGGTATATTATGATATATTTAACAAATATCACCCTGTAGAATTTTTTTTAAATACCCTTTTTAATTATTTTGTACCATAATGGAATTATCTACCAATATCGAACTAAAAGCTCACAGTATACTGTACGACTTAGTTTAAATCAATAGTTGCTTTACAAATTTATATGTTTTTAGTTCATTTCTGAAATGAACTGTGATCACCCTCTAGATAAAGTTTCTTGTCGGTGGGGAACCTTATGGTCTGGCTGACGTACGATGTTCCGGATTTAAATCTGTAACTTTATGACTCTAAACCGACAGATTCTATGTCATCAACATGAGTGACGCTGCGTTTTTGATCTTATTAATATGTCGAGTATCCACCTACTTTCGTACGTTTATTTCAACCGAAATGATACATATTTCAACCTTCATTCAACCTAATTAAGACGTTTATAAATGTAGTACTATTGTAATCGAGCAACAATCATTTAGCTTGACAAGTGTCTATTGTGGTGCAAAATATGGTAATCGATGTTGTGCAAATAATAAATAATATGACTGATATGTAACCTGTTTTATTTTTTAAAGATACTACGACTACAAAATATGTAAAATATTCCAGTGAAAAGTCCCTTCACGTGTA